CTATTCTACATGCAAAACCAAAAGAATTAGCACAAGTAAAATCAAATAGCGTAAATTGTTTTTGCTTAATAATGTTCGTTTCACCTCACAAAACGCAAGTTTAAAATTTAAATTGCCCTTTGGAATAGTAGTGACATTAGCTATGTGCAAATGGGAAACTGGTAAAATCAACCTGAGATGATGATAAGAATTAGTATCTGTCACTCACAGCATGATTATAATCATTTCAATTCATCACAGTAAGTGAATTGTGATTTACCTTCTTTACAATTTTACATGACACTCATGACCTTGCAAAAGGTAACCCATTCTGGTAGAAGATAATCCTCCTTTAAAATCTCTTCTCATTATGAGAAGATAATAGACATTAATATTAAATACATGTCTGTACCTTGACTTTGATTCAAACACTGCATTTCAGTAAACTGGAACTAGCTCCAGCATGAAAGTAAAGAAAGGTATATAGAATCATAGAACAATTCATGTTGTAAGAGACCTGTTACATTTTATTTAGATCAGATTGCTCATGCAGGTTATTGTTCAAGTTGGAAATAAAAAAAAAAACAACAAAAAACCCCCACAAAAAAACCCCAAACAAAATCAAAAAACAACCAAAACCCAAAAAATCAACCAAACATATTTTTCATTGCTAAGCTAATAAACTCATCTAGTATACAGTGCCTTTATGTTAAGTGTGCTGTAGAACTGCAGTTAAATGGAGCTTGTGGTGAGTAGAGTTCAATCCAGTTGGCAGCCAGTCACAAGTGGTGTTCCAGAGTGCTCAGTATTGGGGCCAGTTATGTTTAGTATCTTTACAAATGATCTGGACAAGAGGACCAAGTACACCCCCAGTAAGTTTGCAGACAACACCAAGCCTGGCAGGAGTGTTGATCTGCTCAAGGGTAGGAAGGCTCTGCAGAAGGATCTGGACAGGCTGGATCGATGGGCCAAGGCCAATGCTGTGAGGTTTAACAAGGCCAAGTGCCAGGTCCTGCACTTGGGCCACAACCCCAAGCAGCGCTACAGGCTTGGGGATGGGTGGCTGGAAAGTTGCCCAGTGGAAAAGGACCTGGGGGTGCTGGTTGACAGCCGGCTGAACGTGAGTCAGCAGTGTGCCCAGGCGGCCAAGGCCAACAGCACCCTGCCCTGTATCAGAACTAGTGTGGCCAGCAGGAGTAGGGAGGTGATTGTGCCCCTGTGCTTGGCACTGGTGAGGCCGCACCTCGAATGCTGTCTTCAGATCTGGGCCCCTCACTACAAGACAGACATTGAGGTGCTGGAGTGTGTCCAGAGAAGGGCAACGAAGCTGGTGAAGGGTCTAGAGAATAGGTCTTATGAGAAGCAGCTGAGGGAACTGGGGTTGTTTAGTCTGGAGGAGGCTGAGGGGAGACCTTATAATTTTCTACAACTACCTGAAAGGAAGTTGTAGTGAGGTGGGTGTCGGTCTCTTCTCCCAAGTAACAAGCAATAGGATGAGAAGAAATGGCCTCAAGTTGTGCCAGGAGAGGTTTAGATTGGATATTAGGAAAAATTTCTTCACTGAAAGGGTTGTCAAGTGTTGGAACAGGCTGTGCAGGGGAAGTGGTGGAGTCATCACCCCTGGAGGTATTTAAAAGATGTGCAGATGGGCATTTAGGGACATGGTTTAGCAATGGACTTGGCAGTGTCAAGTCTACAGTTGTACTCGATGATCTTACAGGACTTTTCCAACCTAAATGATTCTATGATTCTATGTCATGCTGCTTTTAGTAAGCATTAATACTGGCAACACACTTGAGGAGGCAGAAAAGCTGGGGTTAAAATCAAGCCACTTCATTGGAATTTATGTCAGGAAGCAAACTGTAGCTGAATTTGTGAACTTATAGGTTTGACTTTATTGCTAGGGGTTTTATACTAGAATTGCCTTTGGCTGGACCTTAGGAACTTATCTGAAACCTTCCTCCTCTCCTCTCTCATCCTCCAATTTTACTGACAGAGAAAAACTTTCTATCTATACTAGCACCCACTTCCATCCTTCAATTCATCAACCATCTCACATTTCTCTCCTGGAAAAGAGATACAGAGAAGTGTTTATCAATAGTTTTGTCTAAGCACTTATATTCAGAAACAAGACTGCAGAAAGTCTGAAGGTTTGGTTCCAACAGATGAGGGGAAAGAAGCCTTTAAAAGGTCTCTCCTCTAACATTTGAAAACTAACGGAAGTAGGCTTTTTTGTCTCCTAAATATACACGCTATGAGAAAATGATCATGAGCCTAGGTGGCAAAGTTTAACAGAAACATAAATCACCTCAAGTTAGGTATGGGCTGAAACAACTACGCCAAAGGGAGCATACTATATATACTAATACTATTGAATCCCAAGGAAGTCTATGCAGACTTCCAGGAAACACATCAGTTACAGCAAACATGTATTTGTGATGGGAACTAAAACTAGTACAGTTCAGTATACTAGAAACCAGACAAAATTCATTTAAGGTGAATCACTGAGCAGATGGTAGGCTGCAAAACTGATTGAGGATAAGTGACCGATATGGAGACAAAAATCCATATTCTACTGCCAAATCTCCTCATCATCCATTTTCCTGTTGAATGTCTTATCAGACTTTGCAGCTGAAAGAATTAAATTAAATAAATGCCAAATTTCAATAGATCAAAGATAAATGAATCTTTTTTTTTCGTGAATGAAATAACCACCTGAAAAATTTTCTGCCATCTCTAACTACTTTGTCATCAACATGTTGTCTTGTTATGTGTTTATGAAGTCCTATGTCACTACAAGCCAACAGGACATCAGCACCATCTTTTCAGCTTATGCCGCTGTTAATAGAATGGACGCAAACCCTATCTCTACGTATTGCCATGAATATAAGAAGAAGCAAGAGTAATAAAAGCAAGAAGTACCAAGAGATTATAACAAACAAATGTCATGAGAACAGACTACAATTATGGCACAGAACAAGCACAGGTAAGCAAGTGTGCATTGAGAAAGGTTAGGCAGAGTATTTTATTGCCTATCACTCTGCAGTATTCAGTGTACAAAGTTGTATACAACTCCTGTCTCTTTTGCTAATGAGACACATTCTTCCACAAAAATAGTTCAGGTCCTCAAGGCACAATCCACCCCATAGGTATCTTGCATTTATATCCCTGGAGAAAAGTAAAGTAAACAGTTCAATTCTACTATAAGGACTCAACATATGTTTTTCACCACTTCTTTCCCAAAGTTGGGGTATGCCACTAGTGTTTAATCCTATACCTGAACTTTCATAATGAGGGGACAAAATTAAAAATTTCTTTCTAGTGCCTCACAATGTTTGTACAGAGTTATGGGATGTGGGGATTTTGTTATCTTGAAGAAAATTGTGAGACCTTGTTTCCCAGAACAACAGCAAGACTTTCCCTAGCAGATCTCTTATTTTATACAATCAGCAGTTCAGAAAATGTGAAAAATTAACCAGAGGAGTACTGGGGTAGGGATGTGTGTGAGGAATAGAAAAGAAGAACAAAAGAAAACAAAAAAAACACCTTGGATTTTAATTGAGAAAACTTTTTCTTTTCCCACAGCAATTCTAATAAATTAGAACTTTTGTGTCAAAGATCTGCTAAGAAGAAAACAATAAAGCTGACTTTCTCCTATTATTCTTAGGCGCAAAATATGAAGATATCTGCCAGAAAAGCAAGGTAAATTAGGAAATTATGCTGTATAACCTACTTGCAGTTCTGTCCCAGAGGAAGGCTATCAGTGAGGGCATATTTGTCAATATCCCAGAAATTTTAACCACAACTAACTGGAAATTGTAGCAAAAACCTGCTTTTTCAGGGCCTGAAACTGACAGGCAGTGGGGATATAAACACTACCATCTTGACTTCCTTTACAAGCTAAAAATTCTCATCCAGGTAGTTTTTAATCGAACTCTGTATTTGACATTTCATGATAACACTGAACAATTTTTAATTCTTTCTAACTATGTCGTCACTTGTCACTCATACAGAAAACTTCTGTTCTAATTTCCCCCTCTTTTCCAAATTCAGATACTTTTAGCAGCAATGGATCTGCCAAAATGTATTATAAATTATTTTTCTTCACTGGATCTCTACCCTGTGTCCAAGAACATTTTCTGTTTGAAGACAGGGCATGAGCAAGGTTAGAGTATAAGCTCAAAGCCAGGTGAAAAGCTGAGGAAGATATTCAGACTGAGGCACAAGGATTGAAGAGCCACACAAAGGTGTACCAACAGAGCACAGAAAGGAAATATGAAACCGTTGGGGAGAACAACAAAAGCAAATGTAGAAAAGATAAACAGGGAAGAGGATAAGGTCAGAAAAATGGGAACGAGAATGGAAAGTGAAAGGCAGGTTTAAACCAGAATTATTTTAGTGAATAAAATAGAAAACCATTTTCATCTTTAAAATGTGTGAAAACCAAAGAGGGACTGGCACTCTCTATAAAGACCATATGGGTCTGGTTTGGCTGGAGCTACAAACTCATCTATACTGAAAAGGCAAAGCAAATTCTGAAGTAATGAAAAAGCCCAACTTATCTGACTTTTTTAGAACTAGCTCTTAATAGTCAAGTAGTTCTTTTCACATGCTCCAAGAGATACTCCTAAAGAAGCGTAAATTAAAGCATAAGATGTAATTCACAGTTAGGAGACACCTTTAGCTCTGCCATAGGCTGCTACAATAACCCTGGGTCAAGGACTGAATATCTTTTTGTATCTACTTGTGATCTAAACTACTTATAACTTCTTACTATCTGTTATAAAGTTCCTATGATACTGTAACTGCTTTTTTTCTGGCACAGAGGTGGCAATATTTCAGGAAAGGATGCAATATTTCACAAAAAACCAACTCTGTCAAAATCCTTAATTAGAAGGTATGACTGAAATAGATTGACAAATAGGGCAATAAGCAATTTTCAGGACAAAGTCTCCCCATCCCTTTACCTCATCTACTCAAAGGTCCTGGAATCAGCTCCCAAGAGCTGCTGATTAACTCACCGTCAGAGCCAGCAGTTTTCCATAGGTGAGATGGGCTGGGATGTGGTCGCTCTTGGATCGCAGTGACTCCACGTACCAGCGCTCTGCTTCTGGCAGCCGGCTCATTCTCATATAGGCTTCTCCTACAGGGGGAAACAAATGCTAGTGAGAACGCCCACAATTTCTCAAGGCCTCCATAACTTATTATCTCATTTATAATTTACTATGTATTAAAGAGGCAAAGATCTTGAAAGGGTGAAGTGCTTTGAACACCTGCAATGACGCACACACACTAAAAAAAAGCCTTACAGACACTTGAGTGAGGAGATTGACTTATGGCCTTATTAGGGCTGAAAGAGCATGGTTGAGATTAAAGTCTCATTGGAACAGCATTGCAAGAGAGAGCTCCAGCTGCTAAGTTACAGTCAAAAGTCTGAAAGTAACAGAAATTTTATCTCATCTACTGTAGAAAAGTTACTTCTCCTCCACCAGTCTACATTGCACAGCATGGAATGGCAGTGAGAATACATAAATTGTTTGCATTTAATCATAATACACCAAGAACCTAGATTTTTTAAAAAAACTAGGGAAGGTTAAGAAAACAGTCCTGAAACTGCATTGAAGGGAGGGGCAAGATATTAAAAAATTTAATCTCTGAATGTAGTTAAATTAAGGTACCTGCCACAATTAGTTTAAATGATAATATAGCATCCATAATTTTAAAATTGTTTGTCTTAAGAAGTCGTGTACGAAATGACCAAAACCGGACAATTTTCAAAGTGAAATCCTTTACTGTGAGAGGCCAAGGCAGGCAATGTTGAAGAACAACAGATGAATGGGATGTCAGAAAGCCATATACTGCGGTACAGGTAATTGTAGTCTTGAAGTTTCTGAGAAAGAATTAAGCATACAGAGAAAGACAGGCTCCTTCTTCGAGAAGTAAACAACAAAATTTCTCAAAGGCTGGAAATGAGCAATATCAAGCAAGTATGCAATGGTGAACAGCATCTTTCAGATTAATACTGTGTAATTACACAGCTCTTTCATGAGGGCTTTGCATATAAATGTGCATGTGCCCTCGCACAAGCCAATGACAGACTGAAAATGCCTACAGGACAGTCAGGATTTCATCATGTCACCAGCTGATTCATTCCAAATAGATAGCTAATTTTTTTCCTAAAACTATGAAGTCACAGTTTATCCAGTGCCAACACTGGAGGATCAAGAGAGGACTACAGATGACCCAAACAGAGGTTGGCTAAGGCTGTCTCCAGGTCAGTCACTGCCCCCAGTTCTGCATTACATGGAAATTAATAGCTGTTAGGGCATCAGGGAAAGAAGAAAGGACCAATTTTCTTTATTGAAGTTTGAAGCCAACTGCCACACCCTCAAAACTCAGAAAAAAGGTGCCACCTACATGCTCAAAGAAGTAAACCAGACGGAATTGTTACCATGGGAGCTACTTTATCTTGAGTATATACAGGGGCTATGGAGGATTTTCTTGAAAGAAAATTGGATTAGGTTCAGTTAGATTTATTTTTTTTTTTTGCTATCTTTGTCACCAGAAGATAGGGATCCCAGGCAAAATGTGGCACATAAGTTTGAGTTTCAGGAGTTAGGGTGTAGTGCATGCAAAATGACTAAACCACAGCCTACAGATAAAATGAGTGTGATGCAGAGCCAGAAGTCACACTGAGCCAAGGCTAAGGGAAGCCAACATGATTTTTATGAGCAAATAGAGCTTTTCCAAAAAGGGTTGCAAGCCTGTAAATCTAGCAGACTATGATTTTTAATTTAAGGATCTACATAGAGTTCTGTACTCATGCACTGGTCTTGGGTATCTGATTACATAGACAGAAGCAGTTGATGTTTCAGTCCCAGTAGTACTCAAGCCATTGTATCGCTGGCTAGGGCCAAACTAAAAAAAAAAAATTCAAAAAACCCCAAGCCAAATTAAAAAAAAAAAATCCAAACAGGAAAGAAACCCAAAAAGAACATGAATGTCTCCCAAAATGCATGATCAAATTCAGGGATATCAACATCACATACATTCTTTTCACTTTGTCAGCGCTCACAAAAAAGTGACAATAAGATTATACCCTGTTATACACAAAACTAAGTCATGAAGTTAAGTGTTGAAAGGACGGAAGAAGTCAGAAGTCAAGCTATATGCTCCCTTCAACTCCTCTCCCTAGCTGTACGTTTATGGCAGACTGTTTAATTATTTGATTGCACACTAGTTATCCCACAGGCCCCTGCTTCATTTAGCATACAGGAAATGAGGAATACATATTGCCCTTTTCTTTAAGTAGAAAATTCCAGCCCAACCTGTTACAGGTTGGCAAAGTTTCAAGCAATTAACAACGAGTTCCTTTAAAAAGTGATGTAAGCAGCCATAAGAGATGGAATTGTTATCTGCTGGTAGAATATGCTGAATGAACTGGCAAATATCAAAAAGATCGAAGGTTCTCATCTATTTTCCATGATGGATTCTGCTATAAGAAGAGATTAACATCTTCAGAGTACTGGCAAATTCGATTCTTAATAGGTTTTAAGAGCTCAACTACTTTACGAGCTAACATCCTTAAAACTTTGAGGGTGTTTCTGAGTGGTACGTCTAGAAACAAAGTTACAATATGTCAATCTAAATGTCAAACTGTAGAGAAAGGAATTTTATTCCCTGAAGACTTTATGGGAGATTCTCCACAGCTGAACATTTTTCTTCTGAAGAGTCTGTTTTCTGCCCATAAGCACATATCATGAAGACTTGCTATATTATAAGCAATTAGAACAGGCATTACTACATCTGCTAAATGATTTACAATGTCACTCCTATCTAAAAAGAAATCAAAGTAAGTTGAAAACTGACAAAGACTGTGCCACTGCCATACTCAAAGACTGGAATAAAATCAAGCAACTGATAATCAAAGAGTTAATTCAATCAAGTGATTTTATGTATTAAACTGATACTAACACAAGCTATTCCACCTTAAGATAGTTTTTCAACAAAATGACCGAAAAAACATGTATGGATTGAATTCTGTCATTCAGGGTGCATTTGTATGTCTGAGTCTAAAATAAGAAAACCACTATTTGTCATTTACGATCGTACATTTTTATAAACTTGTAATGTGATTGATTTAGTCATTAGGAAAATAACAATGTCCACTAGCAGAAAATATCCAAACTAGTGGTACCTGTATTTATTATATTTACTTCTACAATTACTTAATTTCTACAATCTTTCAAAACTCATGTTAAAAATCTAAAAGGTCACACACACATAAAATTTATTAATGAAACTTGTCTGATCTGTAAGGTTCAAAAGAGTTGCATTCTATTTTTCTATTAAAGTTAAGAACAGAGAAAGAAAATCATGGCAGTGGAAACCTTAAGATATAAATTGGCACTCATTTCAGTTCCCTAATCCATACTAATGTGCAGCCACGTGCAGCATCGGCTGTACAAGGAGTGGTGGCAAGAAATTCAACAGCTAACTAGAGTAAAAGGAAACAAATCAGTCTTTTAATTTTGAACAGTTCAGAGAATATTTTCTGTTACTTATGCACCCATTTTTTAGCCTATTCCAAAAGGAGGAGCATAGATTATTTAATTCTAACTCTCATTTACTAATGTAGTACAAGAAAACACATTAATATGCAACTCAAACACAAAATCACAGAACAGTAGGGGTTCTTCAGATCTGGAGATGCTCTAGTCCAACCCCCATGCTGAAGCAGGTTCACCCAGAGCAGGTCACACAGGACTGCATCCAGGCAGGTTTTGAATATCTCCAGAGAAGGAGACTCCACAACCTCCCTGGGCAGCCTGTTCCAGTGCTCTGTCACCCTCAGGGTAAACAAGCTTTGCCTCATGTTGAGGCAGAACTTCCTGTGCTCCAGTTTGTGCCCATTGCCCCTTGTCCTGTCACTGAGCACCACTGAAAAGAGCCTGGCCGCATCCTCTTGACATCCACCCTTTAGATATTTATAAGTGTTGATAAGGTCCCCTCTCAGTCTTCTCTTCTCCAGGCTAAAGAGCCCCAGGTGTCTCAGCCTTTCCTCATAAGAGAGATGCTTCAGTCCCCTAATCATCTTAGTAGCCCTCTGCTGGACTCTCTCCAGTAGTTCCTGTCTCTCTTGAACTGGGAGCCCCAGAACTGGACAGCACTTCAGATGCAGCCTCACCAGGGCAGAGTAGAGGGGGAGGAGAACCTCCCTCGACCTGCTGGCCATACTCTTCTTAACGCACCCCAGGATGCCACTGGCCTTCTTGGCCACAAGGGCACATTTAAAGGAGTGTATACATAGTTCATTAACACCTCTATTAATACTTTATGACAAATGAATAAGAAATGGGCTAACTTTTAACTAGACTTACACCACTCTAACTAAAATGCTGGTACTCAAGTGGATTTTCTTTGCCATAGAGATAGATCAGTTGCAGACTACTATTCCCCAAAGCAGTATTTCCTCATATTTCCCCAGAATCCTTTGGACTGAAAAATAAACTTTCAAAATAAACAAACAAACAAAAAACCCCAACAAACTAAAAGAACAACAAAAACACCCCTACTAAAATGATCCCAGGACAAATTAATTAAGTATAATTAGAGAACAGTAACAATCACATTAAGCATTAAATATTTATATTAAATAGTAATACCAACAAAGGGTCAGCTTGCTAGCAATTTCCCCTGAAAGACTAACTTTATACTCAGTGAAGTGGAATTTGAGCTTAATACAAATCCTAAAAAAAAAAAAGAAAAAAAAAGGCAGCTAAGATTTTCTAATACATATTACTCATTGTTAAAAAGCAAAATTAGGTACCATTTACATGAACGTATGTTATATGGTTCTAGATTAACCTACCAGCTGCTTATTTCAGATTTATTCTGTTTCAGATGCATGTTGTCACATCAAGAAAGGCGATCTCCCTGCAGGAGCATGTTGGACTTATCTATGAGCAAGTACAAAGGAACTATATGCGTAATAGCACTGTGGTGCCTCTGTAAGTGCCCTGTATCCATACTTTCAGATTAAGAACATATGTCCCTCCTGTGGTCCTGCTCTTAGGACCCCAAAAGATATTTCTGAAAAGACAACTGAAAAATGGTCTCTGTAAATGAGACAATGCAGGGCAA